GCACAACTTACATTTTGGGAGGATTTGCACAGTTTGGTAAGGCAACGGTGATCCTGCCTGGTTGTGGAGGAATTTCCAGTAGCATGATGTCATCAATCGTATTTGTGCCCACAAACACTGGTCCACTTGTGACTTTCACGTTTTTTTGTTTTTTTAAAAATGGTAATAACTTTGTCCACCATGGACTTGGATGAATTCCTAAAATTGCATACATATCCCTGCACAAGGAGAAATGGGTGTTAGTGACTGTAATTAGTGAACATGAGCATAAGAAATGCTATCTTTATTTTTAAATTCTTATAAAACACAATTTTAAGTCAAACTGTTATTTATTCACCATCCAGTTTCATTTTTCCAGCAGTGAGCTGCAGTCAGAATCCAGCGTTCATGGATCAGTGAGCCACCACAGAAAGTTTCATGTGTTCCATTTGTTGCCATCAGTTTCACATGATACCGACGCTCAGTGTCTGGACACTTTTGACCTCCATAGACCCTTTTGTGCAAATCTACTCCTGTGCTGACTGTGATGCCTGAAAAAGAAAATAAGTTACTCACAACTGTTTTTTTCTACTGTCTGAAGAACAACATATTCGTTTCAGTTATTATAATTGTAAACAGCAGAAATGTGTCTGCAAAGATTTGATGAAAATAAAAAAAGGACAAAGATGAACAAAAACAGTATCTGATGATTTAGTGAAACTTAACCAAGTCAAGTTAAATGATCATTTGTTAAGACAGCTTTGTCACAACCTGAGAAATAGTTCAAATCAAGTGAAAATACACACAGGAAATAAGTGCAATATTTCACTCACCAACCCACAGGATAAGAAGAAGAAGCATCAGATTAGCCATTGCTGTTGTTCAGCTTGCAGTGAATGCTGTGCTGGGACCTTTTTAAGCCTGTTCTCACTGTGCTGGTGGCCATGGAGCCACCAATCACAGAGCATAATTTTAGCAACAAACCCCTACTGGTTGGAAGGTTCTTCATGCAAATTTTGAAAATGACTTCATCTGGGTTTTTTTTGTTGCTGGTTTTGTGGCACAAATATAACGGTGTACAGAAAGAGTTGAACGCGCACGGGCAGAAATGTTGAGAGCGCAAGCAACACATTGCGAG